CCAAGGGCACGTACCTAAGTGAGCAGTGGAACACTTTAGAATTCTGCTCCTTTGTCCACTGGAGAAGCTCTTTGTTACTAACAAGCTTCCCTTTCCAGAATTAGTGTGTCAATTCTGAATTTAAAAGACTAGACACGTGACAGATGGACAACTGTCTACACACACACACACACACAAACAAGCTCCTTGTCCCTAGCCCTTGCCTGACAAGCTCCCATCGCCATCTCCCCTTGGCATTTCTTTTAGCACACACAATTAGGGGCTGGGAGTGGACATCGTTCTAGGCTCTGAGAGTGTTTGGGGCATTATACCGCCCTCTGGGCCACTAGAGAACATGAGCTAATTGTATTAACAAGTGGCATCTGGAATTTATTCAATTTTACATGAATCCTGTGTTGTTTATGAATGAACCCAACTTGGGAAATGGAGACTGGGATCCCAGCTGTTTAACAGACTCTTCCCTTGGGTTTCCCAAGCTCTGGCAGACTCCAGAAACACTATGGGCTCATGTTCACCACTATCGGCAGCCCCGTGGAAGTCCTCAGAGTTCTTATTCTAGGTTACCAACCAAGAGGACCTGGGCAAAGGTCCTACATTAGCCTTCCATAAATTGGATGCATCTGCCTGGAACCGGAAAAAGCGAGGTCTTCCCAGGGTCCTGCAATCCCCATGTTTGTATCCAGAAGGGGTATGGGTTAGAGGGGTCTCTATTCCTTGCAGCTCAGGAGTTGGTGAACTTTTTATCCTGCTCAGAATGTAAAATATGAAGCCAGCTGCACATTTCTGAAAAACATACTAGGGTCACTGGCAAAGCCCACTGGGGTCCCCGGGAAAAATAAGATGAAATCTAGATGACAAGATAAAGTCTACCATTAATCTCTTGCTATCTGAAATTGTCTGGGCTGTCTCCAAGAGGTTAGACAAATGGGGGTCACGCAGGGCTACGAAGTCAGGGCTGGGGCCTGAGGAAAGTTAAACGCATCTAAAGGCAGCTGGGGAGAAGTCCTGCTCCTCCACCCGGGGTTGTGACGATTCCCAAACTGAGCAGGAAGCAGTTACAAAACACGGACCAGCGCCCCTCAGCGCCCCTCAGCGCCCCTTGAGACTGAGGAGCAGGACAAGACAGAGATTTGTCCCCGGCAAAGCCCACTAACAATTCCCAAGAAATAAAAATAGAGTCTGGGCAATAAAATTAAGTCTAACCTCTTCTGTTTTCCTTTGTGCTTAGTCTAGTTTCACTTGCTCACAGGGTGCTGTGTGGAGAAGCCTTGTACCCGGAGTTTCAGACCACAGTTCCCGGAGCTAAAGGCCTGTGAGGACACCTGAGCTTCGAGGCCCGACGTGCGCCGACGCTGCACGGGCACCGCGGTCTGGCACGTGAGCCACGCACACGCGCCTGCGCCTGCGCCTGCACGTGAGCCGCGCGCCTGCGCCTGCGCCTGCCCGCGAGAGCCCCGCCCCTCCCCGGACACGAGCGGGGTAAGGCGGCCCCGCCCACGGCCTGGGCGGGAGAGCTGGGCTCTAGAGCAGCAACATTGTAAACTGACTATACCTCAACTGAAAAAAAATAAGGATAAAGCTCTCCTTTGCTTCTAAACTGAAGTCAGTCTCATTTTATTGGTTCAGACGACACCGGGCAGGAGGATCCTCGTCGGGGACCAGCTTTGAAGGATAGGTAACAAAACGATGTTGTAAAAGAAATTAGTCAACTTGAGCTGACTTGATAAATAGCATGTATTTCATTTTATGAGAATTAGGACAGGGACCCGCTCTTGAGAAGCAAACCGAAAAAGCAGGGCCAAAAGACCTTGAAAACATTCAGAGGCATTCACGCTCCAGCAGGAACGGGGCCCGGTACATGCTGGTTTCAAGTTCCTCCTTGCTACATAAATGGCCAAAGGAAACATTATCCAAGAGTTTCACATCAAAGGCTAAATGGCAAACTGATCTTCCTTTAAATCTGGCCAATAACAGAGTGAGGATTAGACAACATACATGTTTAGGAAGAGGGCTTCAAGTCGTTCCGGAGTGGGCTTTTCCGTATTTTCATTCCCAGATGGTCTCCACTGGGGAGCAGTTGTTGTGTAAACCATTCAGGGTGGCACAGACAGTCCGGCCGAAGCCTGCGGGTCTTGTAATAACCCTGTAGGGGGTCTAAACAATGTGCTGAATATACAGAAGCAAAAGTTGGAGAACAGTCAGAGCTGCATTCACCATCTTGCCCCTCACTGCCTTGAGGAATTCAGATGAGGTCTACCTCCAAGTAAGGAGGCCTCCAGGAAACCCACAGGAAACTTGTCCTGGAGTGTCAGGGTCTATAAGAGGGCCTGAGCGCTGGGTGAGAAATGATGTCCCATGGACGGATCAGCAAAGCAACTGAGAGGCATTTGGTTTGTACTTTTTGCAGTTGTTTAGAGCTGTGTGTGTGCACCATGATGCCTCAGACTAACTGAAGAGGTATCTCATCCACGATGTTGTTTAATCCTCACGCAACATTGTGAGGTCAGCAGGGCAGGAATGATCTTCTGGATCCTACGGAGGAGGCAGCTACATGATTTACCCAAAGATACACAACTTGCAAATGGTCAATGAGGGGCTCCAAGTGAGGACTTCTGATCATTTCTGACCCTCTGATGCCACGTGCTTTTCACTCTGCCATGTTGCTAACTGGCTATTTCTGTGTGCAAAGTTGTCACTCTGGATTACCACCCACGGGGACCTGGGAAAGGTTCTACATTATCCTTCCATAAACTGCATGTATGTGCCTGGCAAGGAGTCACAGTGAGATAGTAAAGAAAGCTACCAACTTTTGTCTGTGAGTTACCATATTGTATTGGGAGCTTCACAAGGGCAGGAGCCATTCCTGGCTCGCTCTGTAGCCCAGCACTTGTGCCAGTATCTGGGATAGTAAATGTCTACAGAGGAAGGGAAAGGGAGAGCATGGGAGGGAGGGAGGGAGGTTAATTTCTTAGGAGCACTGGTCTGCGGTGTTGGCTCTTCTCTCATGAAATATCAGAGACTCTGAAGAAGAGAGAGAGGACTTTGAAGAATGTATATTTTCCGGCCCCATTCTGGATGCAGTAGTTTCCCATCTTTGTTTTATTTATTTTTTTACTCCCACTTTTAATTCATGTGATTTTGTTGTTTTCATTGTTCCTGTTATACTTTAAGCATTCTTGTGACCGACTAAATATTTCCAGAACATTAGTAGACCAAAAAAAAAAAAAACCCAAAAAACCCTAGAAAAACAAATAGCTATATAAATACATGTCAGTGGCAGTGAGCATTTCTGATCTGTTTGCACCCCTCCTCCTGCCAAGAATGCAGCCCAGGCAACACTAACAAATCCTGCAGGGAGATTTTCCCCAGCAGTCTTGCTACCTTTCCTCTTCACACCTTCCCGCATTCTACTCACTCTTTAACCCTTTTCCAGGGCCAGTTTCCTCCTCCCTGACCTCAGCCAACTAATCTAGCTCTAGTTTCTCCTAACTGAACGTGGCATGTACTACTTGTGAGCTCTGTGTGCTCTGAGATGGGCAGGAGCATGGGGCAGGCGTGGAGCCGTCTGGCTGACCCCCCGGCCCTCTGCAATCTGACCAGTTTCCAGCGTGTGGTACCTGCTCTTGCTGGTCCGTCTCTTCACTATCACATAAGCATGCCCTGCCCTCACCTCTGTGCCTCTGTGCCGCTCATTTCTTTGAGCAGGAATGCCTTCTTCTTGCTCCCTTGCCTACTGAATTAAATTCCTTCCTCAAGCCCTGTTCAAAACCTTTGTCCTCTTTTCTTGGGTGCCCTCCTGTTTTAACTATACAGCCCAGTAGATTCCCTGTTTCTCTGTTCTTTAGTCCTTATATTATATTTTTGTCTTTTATTATCTAACATGTCATGAAAACAAATATTGTCAATGTGAATGCACTAAGGGTGCTTTGGAGGAAAAGTTACAATGGAAAGCTCAGGCGTTAACAGTTTAAAAAGACCATGATTACATAGTGCGGATGACAAGTGACCAAGGGGTGTCTCTGTGCTGCTTTCATTAATGACATCTGTAATGCCGTCTTCATTTTCCTTTATGTCAGGATCACAAAGGGAAGAGATCTGCGGGACTTCCTGCTCTGAAGAACTATCAAATTGTGTCTCTTATTCTGGATTCTGCTTTCTATAAGCTCTACCTGGCACCTGACACAGCACATTTCTGTGATCACTGTGTCCATCTTGTTCTCTTTCCTTCCTGAGGACCCATGAGGTAGATGTGCAGAGAGCTTACGGCTCACCCCAGTGCCCAGGGAACAGCATTCACCCATGCTCAATTTGTTCCTCCAAGGGACAAGACACTGGCAGTCAGAGCAGTGAATCCCAGTCCAGAGCAACATGTCTCTCCCCAAGTCTCACTTCCTTTGTGTCTAAGTCATCAGTTTTTGTTATTGCTTCACTTGACCAGGACTTGGGTGGGGAAGCAGAGGTGGAAGGGGGAGATGTGCAGGTCTAAGGAGTGGAAACCGCTCCCCAAAAGCACAACCCTGAGAACCCAGAGAAAGCAAACAAGCTCCGGCTGGTCGTACAGGCGCCACTTACAGCTTCCTTTTCACAGCTGCAAAAATATTGCATCAGGTTGTCAGTTTTTGACTTTGTTTCACTTTGGTAAATAAAAATAAAGCTCCTGCTAAATGCCATCAGCAAATGTGAGCTCTCATCACATGGGCCATGCTTGTGAGAACAAGGCTCCTCTACATTTTAGCTCTCACGGAGGCTACTGTGAATGAAAACTGTCACTGCATATGTTTCACACACAGTTATACTTGTTTGCCACACAGAACTGTATGTATACACGGGTTTTAAATAGTGTCAGAAAATAAGGGTCTTGTTTATCTCATTGTAAGAACACCCTCTAGACTCTGCTCAGTAACCAGAGACAGCAACACACCTGAAAAGCCCAGCAGCCAAGAGAAGGACCCAGATGGACTCAGCAGGACACAAAGACACTGATAAACACAGCCCAGTGATCCCGAGAGTACACAATATAAATGCTTTATTGCTAGCACAGGTTTCTTTTTAAGTAAATTAAAAGAAATAAATCTTCATTTTCACATTCTATATTGCAGTTTGAAGGTAACTAGCTGGTTAATGGATATGTTCACTTGGACACAGGCTACAGGAGGAGAGCATGACATTCACATGAAAGAACTCAGAAACGTGGCATCTCTCAAGGCGTCCGGCCACTGTCGTTTGTCAGTTACAGCAAGTAGAGGTTTCTTTAGAACATCATGAACAGACGAGGGTTATAAATAGAGAACCGGTATGGTTAGAAAGCAGAAAACCATTAAATACAGAAGGCTACATATGTGCTGCCCATATTTCATATACTCTAGGTTATGTTTGGTACTTTTAAATAAATGATCTTCGTCTAGGTTAGAGAATGGACTAGATTTGGCAGCTGGAAAGAGGGGAAAAGGAAAGGAAGCTGACACTGCCACATCGAATGGTGCCTTCACTGGAGAGCAGAAGAGGCGAGTGCGGCTGAGAGGAGAGGGGGCAGGAATGCTGTGTGGACGAGCCACGGGCGTGACAAGGGGAGCTCTGAGGGAGCGTGGTAATCGTGGCACACTGGAACTCTGCAAACGGAGAAAGAAACCTCCGGGCCTGGCCAGGTTTTACAAGGTTACTGCCAGCAGATTTAGGGCATGATAGACCAAAGCAACACACATAGCGCTGGGACTGACAAGTGTTCTGCGCTGGGGACTGGGGAGCAGAAGAAGCTATCCATTCCAAGTGCAGAGATAATTCACATAATAGGAATCGTTAGCCAGTACTGGAGACGGAATTATTTCTGCAAGGCACCCAGCATTACCTTTTTCCAAATTCTCGAGCCTACTCAGATCATTTTTTGGTTGATTTTAAGATAAGCTTTGGGAAAGATCTTATCAACCCATGAAAAACAACCCACCCCCTGCCTTATTCCAGGATAACCAAGAAAGAATTAAATGTCCCCCCTCCGCCCACCACACAGGTACACACACAAGCACACTCTCCAAACCATGCCGTGAGCTCTGAGGTTGAGAACACCACGTTACGCTCCCTGGAGCTCCCTCCTCCTGATCTTTCACTCTGCTATTAGTGGATGTAAGAAAACCAGACCGGGTTGGGAATAGCCCCAGTTCTTACTCTTCAGTACATCTGCAGTGTACCAGCTCCTGGCATTTTCAGTCTGGTCTGGCTCTAACTAAAACCATTTCATGTTTTGCTTTGAAGAAATGGATAACATGAAACGGTAATTTGGCTGCAAAACTTTGGAAAATTGTTCCCGGCCCAAACATCTGCCCCAAATGAGCTCAGCTGAGATCTCTATGGAGGGGCGGGAGGGGTGGGTGAGCAGGGAGGGTCTGGGAGGGGAAATGAAGGCAGTGGGAAAGGCTACCTTTCCTCAGGAGGAAAGTCCTTTGTGACAAAAGGCATCAAACTATACAGCTCCCTCACTCAGAAGGAAATACTGGACGCGCCTGATACCACTCCTGGTGCCTTCATCCCACTTCCCCCGTATTTGGTAGCATCAAGGTGACCCCTCACGAGTGCCAAGAAACCACGCCCAGCTGGCTTGCTTTCGTTATGCATAACTGGCCTGGCCTACCTGTTGTCATTAAATCTTTAAATAAGGACTGAGTATCAACTTTGGATTCCTGAGAGCTAGGCCCCACAGGGAGAGCAGGGGGAGAGTGAGTCGTGCAGGCTGGCCGTCACCTTCCTTCTTGGCCATCTTAAGAGTTCTTCTGGGGGATCTTTACCGTCACAGTCTTCACTTCTGAGTACTCTCGCAAACCAAATTCTCCCCTGAAAAACAGGAACAGGCAGGATCAGGTACCAAGAGGCCCAGGCAGCCCAACCTGGGCTTTCCTCTTCAAAACCCCACGTCCTGCCACTGGGCGCCCGGGATGTGCCTGTGCTCTGAGCGCTCTCTCGGAGATCCAGTCTACTTCAACTGAAAGGGAGCCGTGAGATTCCCAGGCTAGGGTCCTCTTGGCTTGGTATTCTCAGCTCCTCCTTGATGGTCCTTAGGTTTAATAAGTGGAAACAAACACCCAGAGACCTACCAGGGAAGAGCACAAGTCATCTGCGATGCCTCACAGACACAATCCTCCATAAACACTGTCAACAGCCCACAGCCAGGGCAGAGCCAGGGAGTCAAAACAACTGAAAAGAACTGGGAGGCGTGAGCAAGCTGTCCCCAGGACTTGCCTTTGGCCACTTCCCCTCCTGGCTTACGGCGCCCTCTAGGATTGTGGTCATGGACCAAGGACTGTTAAAGCATTTACTGTGCTATTACTATGGGGCAGCACTGTGTTGGGTTGGGTGAAGGAGAGACTAAATAATTGGTCCCAGCCTCTGAGGGGCCTGCAGGTGGTTGAACCTGAGAGGGTGAGGCTGGGAGCCAGGTCACATGTCTAGGTGGCCCCAGGAGATGCAGTCCCTCTAACTGCTGCTTTAAGGATTCTGGGGTGTGGCTACACCCTTGCTGCTACAATACCCCTTTTCTATCCCCCTCTTCTCTGGTTCCTCATCTTTACCTTTTTCTAATTGCCTTTCCCCCCTCTATTTCATTGTAATATCTTTTTCTCCTATTTTTTTGATAAAATACTTGAACTTATTTCTTCTTTTTTTTTTAAAGTCATTCCTCTGTGAAGCGTTTCCTTGAGTTCTCAGCAGAAGGAGCCCCTCCTCCTCCTCTGTATCCAGAGCACCTGTACCCACCTCTACCTCTGACAGCACTGTTACCTTGGGAGGAGAGGGGCTGCTCGAGCAGCTGTCTCCCCCACTGAACTGTATCTTACTGATCTTCCTTTCTTTCCTCCCCCAAACCTAGTGTGTGGCCTGCGGCATCAGGCGCAAGGAAGACGCTGGGTAACTGTGGGGGGAAGGATGGGGAGCGGGCTTCTTCCTATCCCCACCACCCCCGTCCACCCTGCTGACAGGCCGTTTCTGCCAGGGAAAGCAAAAAACAAAAGACATGTGGAGATATATTTGAGATAAGAAAGGCTGTCTTTTAAAAGTCTTATATAAAAGGTACAAAGTGACTGTAAGTGGGCTTTACAGCGAAGACCTGCTGTGGAAGATTCATCCTGCTCCACGGCCCACCATAAGGCTCCCCTCACTTTGCCAGCCGCTCCTCTGAGCACCAGCGGTGCCTGAGTTGACATTCCCCACCAAGGACATCAGGGGCTGGGGCAAGCGCACTGTTCTGTCATCTGTACTGGCCACTCTGCTCACAGGAATGAGAAGAATAAATGGGACTGCCCCACTCAGTATATGGTTCCCTTGATGGCTCCATCCAGGCTGTCTCTTTATTACCAGCTCAGCTCTGGCTCTCACTGGACTTTTTCCTGCCCTTGGGCAATTGTGCATGTGTCTCTTCATCATGGACATCATCTGCCTCCTGTTTGAAGCATGGTTACTCCCTTCTTGTTCCCTTGCTTGTGCACGCACTTGGGACAAACCCTGAACTACCTTCCTCCCACTCAGATCTCAAACTAGGTTATGACGAATGTAATGAAGTCTACAGAGCCAGAAACCTTGTTTTTGAGTGTTACTGGCAGATCCCAAATCTCTGGGTGCTCAAAGCAACAGAAAATTCTGCTGGACTGGAGGTGCTTCTCTCTCAGGTCCCAGGCAGCCATCAGCTGCGTGGCCCACACAGCCCACTGTCAGAGGAATGGACTCAAATCTGCCATAAAAGCCCATGGCCCAGGCCTCAATATGCCCTACATAGGCCCAGGCCCTATGTAGGGCAGTACATAGAGCAGAATACTGGGGCTGGAGGTCAGCAGATGGGAGTGCCAACTCAACTTTGCATTAAATGGCTGTATGACTCCAGCCAAGTCACCCTCATCTTCTTGGTACCCAGGTGTCTCTCTGACATCAGTTCCTGAACCTCATTATACATATCACCCATGAAGCTTGCTTAAATTGTAGGTTCCTCACCACACCCCACCAAAAATTCTGTTCCAGTTGGTCTAGGGAGGAGCCCAAGAGCCTGAGACGGGTGGTTCCTGGGCCCCTCCTCAGCAGCACTGCTGTAAGGTCTCTGAAAGCCCTGACGTTCAAATTTTTCAGCTATTTCTCCATCTCATTCCAGGGCTTTCTCTCAAATCCACTTAAATTTTTCCTAATCCAGTTAAATTCAGTGGCACAATACAGGTCCATAGTTAAGAAGCCCACTACTGCACAAAAAGCATGTATGGTCCCCTGCTAGGCTGGACCGTGTCAGGGCACAGTGCGCTTAGGAGCCCGTGTTCCTGCTGCTGGTCCAGACTGGTTACACTCCCAGAGGTGAACCAAGCTTGGCATACGCGGAGGTAAGGCAAGACATTAGACCTTGGTCTCCCTCAGCCAGACGTTTTAGGAAGTCACTCAGACTCACCCATAAAATAAACAGAGTTTTCTGCTTAAGGTGTGTATTTCCTGCCCTTTTCTTTGGCTTACAATAGCACTCTGCAAAGCATGGTCCCCAGACCACCTGCATCAGAATCATTCCAGACGCTTGTTAAAAATGCAAATCTTGGGCCCTAGGCCAGATCTACTAAATTACAATTTCTGAGCGTGGTCCCTGGAAAGTCAAGCTTAGCAAGGGCCCCTCCAGATTGCAAGTGACTTTCTGTGTACATGCATGCTGTGTGCGCACATGCGTGTGCACACACACACACGCACTGTGTGCACACTTGCAGACTCACAGCATCTGAACAGTGCTTCTCATCTTCAAAGCCAGTGTCCTTAGTTTTTTAAATGCTGGTTCATAGCTTTCGTTCTATCACCCAGATTTGTGGCACATATTTTACAGCCTGGGCTCTATGACTGCTCGTCTCAGGGGAGCTTAAATGAGAAGATAAAGGATGGGAGGACTGAGACAGATGGAACTAGCAGGACAAGAACTGAGAAAAACGCAGTCCAAGTCTCGGGCCCTGGGAATGAGAGGCCAGCCCATCCGGCAACCTGCAGAGGGCAGCCCTCTCACAGCTCTCTGTGGGGGAGCACACAGGGGCTCCAACAGCCCTCCTTGGAGCTTTTTTCCAGAAAGTGCTATTTCCCTTCTCTGTTCCTCTCACAGGTGGGCATGAGGATGTCAGGGACCAAAGTGGCATGGAGCCTGCGGGCCGTGAGGTCAACAACTCTGTCCAGGTGGAAGGCTGGGTGGAGTTTCTGGGACCGAAGGAAGAGGAGGGGACCAGCACGAGGCAGGTTCTTTGATTTGAAGCATTTCCTATCACTCAAGGTCATTTAAGGGAGAGAAAACATGTTTGGGGGGCAAACAGGGACAAAAAAACCACATAATTTAACAAAATGAAGTGAGTCTCATCAAAGAGCATTGTTCCTTAGTTATTTTTCAACTGCACCGGGAAGGCCACATCACTAGTGTGCCAATGAGACCAGTCTCCAGCTCCTGGGCCACTGTTCTGTATGGTTCTGACGCAGCCAAGTGTTTCCTGGAACTTCCTTCTAGACAAGGGTGATGTTTCTGAAAGAGAGAGACTGGACCTGAACAATGTCACAAGACTGAATCCTGGGAGGAGGCTTGTCCATGATGAGGGTCCACGCCAGCCTGGGATTAGAAACCATCAACCAGCAATTGTTCATTACAAGTATATTTTATGCCCATGGTGCACCCTGTTGATGACCTGTGACAGTCAATACGAGCAGCATTCCCAGAGCCAGTCTTGGCCCCACGTTTCAGAGACTGAGAGAGCACAAACACAGGGGCAGGAAATGAAGTAAGTTGACTGCATCTTGAAAAGCGGAAGCAGAAAGTTAAGGCCATATGCAAGTTAAGAAGAGATAATAGAGTACGTGAAGACTTTATAAAAGCTGAAGGAATACTAGTAACTTAGCAAACAGGATCCAGATTGGGTCTGGGCTCTGGCTGTAAAGCAAGTGGGAGGTACTGAAGGCCAGAAGCAAAGGCTTAAGCAAGAGCAGTTTGTCCCTGGCGTCAACAGAAACAGAAAGTAAGTTGGTGATACTGGAATTTAGGAAAAATTCTGCCACATTTCCAAAGTAATACATTTATTAAGAAAAAGAAGGATCACCTACATAACAGTCATCTACGTGATCAGTGATGATGAGAGTAGCTCACATTTTCTGAAGGGTTGCCAGACACTTTGGTGGGTGTTTGGCATATTTGATTCTAACATTTATTCCTCACAGCAATCCTGTGGGGTAGGTACCGTAATTACTCCCATTTTGTAGATGAGGAAATTGAGGCTTAGTGACATTAAGTAATTCCTCCAAGGCTGCATAGGTATTAAACAGCAGAGCCAGGGTATGTATCTGAGCAGTGTGAGTCTAGAAACTCTGCTCTTAGCCCCAAAGCTATACCTACTTCATGGTTTAATGGGTTGGGGCTAGAAATTTCCAGCTACAGTATCTGAAGTATGTAAATCCTCTGTGCCAGTCTTTCGGGTTCACTGCACTTTCCCCCAAACACCGCACTTATTTCTCCCAATGCCTGTGCTCACTCTTCCCCCACTGCTACCCTGCTTTGGCCACCAACCCTGAGAAAATATTCCTCTTTCTTCATCTACTCAAATATTCTTCTCTTTTCAAGGCCAATTCAAATCCCTATAAAAGATCACATCTAAAGGTTTCCTGGACTTCAGCTTACCACAGTCTCTATTACCCTGCATTCCTCTGCCACTTCACAGGTTTTTCTGAAATTCTTTTGATTCTCTCAATGTTGTGTATTTCATTTATCCAACAAGCACTTTAATGAGCTGCATCCTCCCCCACAGACCAAGCATCGTGCTTTGTACAAAGTATATACTCAGAACTTGTTAGTTTAATTGTGTTCAGTAATGGCAAAGGGAATGGGCATGGAAAGTGTTTCCTCTTATGAGTCACAGGATTTAGAAAACATGGACCAACTCCTTTGAAAGTAAGGGAAAGTGGAAGTTTTTTGGGTAAGGGGAGGTGTTAGCTCAGGAAGGTGTGGACTACAATTCATTCTTCGAAAGCCACTCAAAAAATCCATTTATATATGAAGCTGCAGATACAATCCTTCTAGTTTGCCTCTGCCACACTCCTATTTTCCAGGTCCTTAGCATCACAAGAGGACAGCCCAGCTCTGATCGTGACCCAGAGGAGTCCTTACACCTGGTTTCCATGCTTCCTTGGCCAGATATCATGGGAACTAAGTGGATTTGAAGCCACTGCAATTTAGGTTCAAAGCTTAGATCTGCCAGTTACTAGCTGTGGGACTTGGGCAAGCTACTTAACCACTCTAACCCTTAGTTCCTCGTCTGAACCATCTATGATACAAAGATAAGGGTACTTAGCCCATAGAATCACTATGAAAAACAAGTGAGCTCATGTTAGGTAAAAAGTCAGCATAAAGTTAGCACAGGGCAGGCATTGGATTAATACCTATTGTTGTTATTGCAAAATTCTTCTAATGGGTCTTCATCCCATAACCTCTGCCAAAATATCCCTATACGCCAGGAACGCTGGTCTTAAAAACTCTGGTATCTCCTCAGCAACCACTCTGCCCTTTAAGGCCCTTGAGATTGGGTTTAAAGCAATGTTTCCACTTGCATCTTCAGCAAGTCCTCTCCATACATCCTACGCCCTAGTCCTGCAGCCCCAGACTCTGAGATCTTATACGCAGGCAGTGGGTAGGTGACACAGTGAGTGAACTGGGTACGTGTAAAACCAGCAAGCACCTGTATTCAGTTCCCAGAAGCGGCAGGAGTCATGGGGAACAGGGTGAACTGCAGAGACAATTTTGCTATAGGGAACGAAAATAAACGAGAAATCCAGATTGCACGTAAAGCCCCCTCATTTCTGAATGTTAGGTAAAGATTTTAAATATTATGAGGCAAAACCCCCACAAAACATTTCTCTGGGCCAGATTTGTCCCTGGGCTGGCAGTTGGTGCCCTTTGTTTTAAACACAGAGAACTGTTTTGTGCCCAGATTATCCTGTATTTGCTGTACCTTCCTGCCTCTGCTCTTGCTACTCCCTCTGCCTGGAACGCCTGTTCCTAAGAAACTTAAATGTTATTTCCTTTGTGAAGTCTTCTGTGACCCCATTAGGCAAAATTAATTGATTTTTCCTCTGTACTTACAAGATATTTGACATACTTTTGTAATAGCACTTATTACATGGAATTACTGATACATTAATTCTTCTCCATTCCCACTTCAGGTAAGGGTATTGTGCTTTATTCATCTTTGTAATGTGTGCTTTGCTTATAGACAAAATGTTGTTTACTGAATGGATGAGAGTAAGAGAACTTGGTGCTGTTCTGCTATTCGCAGTCCCTACTTCTCTGCAGGCACCCACAACTTTGAACACTTACATTTCTCTCCCATTTCCAGACATCTTGAATCCCCCAAAGGGGCTCTGGGCATTTAAGGCATTGTAACAATTAATCCTGAAGGAAGAAAATATGGTACTGTTAGTGTGAATTCTATTTGCACAGAAATAATCCCATTGGTAAGATATTTCTTTTTAAAGTTTTATTTTTTAATTCCTTTTTCCCACATGAAAATTTTATAATTTGAGGTTTACTTTGATTCCCTGATCTAGCCAGTAGGAAGTGCCCCTTCTCAGGGTGAAGTCCTCCGTCCCCATTCTTCCAGAGCATGTGTGTTTATTTCATGCTGGCTCTGGAGAATTACAAGGCCCCTCCACCCTCACGGAATGTGTTATGGCCAGAATAACAAGACCAACTCTGGTCTTACCAAACGGTCCCGGCTTGCATCGCAGAGGACACTGTGAGGGCCTTGTTGATGTCGTTAGTAAAGACAGCTGCTACAAGTCCAAAGTCTGAGTTATTGGCTCTTTCGATAACTTCATCCATAGTCTTAAACCTCAGAATCTCCTGAACGGGGCCAAAGATCTGCAGCAAAACAGGGTGACCCCACATGGTTGCTTTGCCAACCTTTCACCTGTTTTTCCACATTTCAAGGCAAGTTTATTCTGCCTTCATTATTTAAATGATGTTTAAACTTTTTAGCAGCACATAACTGTAAAATAGCCCAAACTTCCCCGGAATAAGATTACATAAGAGTCTGACCTTAGAGTTTAACACATCCACTCCTCCCCACTGACTGGAATTGCTGGATTCCACTGTGTGCTCTAAAACTGCATTCTCCTTAACCCCCCGGCGCTGCTCCAGAGCTGAGAACTACTGCTCTGGATTGTCGGCTGATCTGCAACTGGTCCTCTCCTGCGTCGGCGTAAGGATGCTTGGGTGCTTCCTCCTTCTCGGTGAACAGCCTGGTGACCCACGTCTGGTGGGGCTGAACTGCTGCCGGTGTATTACTGAGACCAGTGATGGGCTATGATGCTTCTGCTGGCTGACAATAACTGCACGTGAAGCACATCACCTGGCCTCCATCTAGCTTGCTTGCCTCTTTAACATTTTTCTTCAAACTGGGATTTCATAGCCATGTTTATGTCTATCGTACAATGTATATAAAATATACAGAGCTCAGCCTCTAATACTGTCTACTAGAAATGCCCTAGAAGATGTGGCTGTTGTTAAAATGTATGTAATACCTCCTCCTTGGCGATCCGCATGTCGTCGGTGACGTTGGAAAACACCGTGGGCTCGATGAAAAACCCCTTTCGGCCCAGCCCTTTGCCACCGCACTCAAGCTTGGCACCCTCAGCCACACCACTCTGGATGAGTTCCAGGATCTTGTTGTACTGTTTCTTATCAATCTACAGAAGAAATTGCCTAATGACTCCAAGTAAAACCTTCTTTGAAAATGGAAATAAACATTTTCTCAAGAATTTCTCATTTGTGATTTTTTTCAAAGCTTCATTATACTTAGTCAAATCATAGGGAACTGCTGCTAATCAACCATTTTTGACCTACAAAAGAGGGCAATTTTGTGTGGTTCCACCTAATACACCAAGGATCCCAGTAAATGCACTGCTCTGATGATACAGCCAGATCATAAGTACCACTTCAAGATTTAAGCAATGGTTATATATGATGGAGATACTGTCTAATTGATCATTCACTGCCTATATAGGGAAAAATTAACCTTATAACCAAATGAACAGTTTAGCAAGTTGTACTGATACTAGAAAGACGAAAACAATGATGAGCTAACACACAGCCTCTGTACGTGGGGCTACACATCAAACCCTCTTGAGTATATTTTTATGGAACTACTGTTACACCTTCAGAGAAAAGGATTAAGTTTGAAGAGTGAAAGCTAGTGTCCTAGTTCATAAAACAAAGTCAGTCTTGCCCCCCCTCAAAAGTTACAGAGCTATCAATCAATTACTATGGTAAATAAAGTAAAAACCTACATTCACCTGAGTCTGTAGTGTATGAAGCATTCAGAAAAGAGAGAACAGTATGGCAGAGGGGAAATCAGACAGCTCTTCATTCCCTCCACATTTACAAGCTACAAGTGGTCTCCCCAGAGTAGGTCAGGTTGGTGGAGAGAATCTTTGGCAGCTGGTAAAAGGATAAATGGCTTCTGGGAATGAGAGATACCTGCCCTCCTTGACTGCCATCTGTGGGGATGTCTTGAATCCAGCGGTTAGGATGGGGACTGGGCTCTAGTGAAGAGCCGCCTTGCCATGCCTAGGTCTTTCTTGGAGCTGAGATACCCTAGCTTACCCACAAAGGTCCAGGTACCCTTAAGGCGATCCTACTCCCTTAGTTTTTCAGGACAGAACTGAGGGATGGGAAGAGAAGCCTACGTATAAGCAGTGCCTCACTGGCCATGTTTCCAGCCACAAAGCCGAGGAAGAAGGGCAAGGGGGCAGCAGAAAAAGGAAGACGGTGCTTTGTTGCGTCCCACTAGAGGATCTGGTTTCTGTGCTCACCAGGGATTAAGTAAAGAAAGGGAATGTTTATGATGTCTCTACCTGGGGTCCCTGCTCGGTGGTGGGGTCAAAGGGACTCCCCACTATGCGCCTCTTGGCTCGCTCTACGCTTCTTCTCACAAACTCTTCATAGATGGACTCCTCCACAAAGATGCGGGACCCTGCAGTGCAGCACTGGCCTTGGTTGAAGAACACACCCTGGTGAGCCTGCTCCACAGCATAATCCACTACAAGAGGAAAGAGTCATGCTCTCGAAACTGCTCCGCCTGCAGAGCGGCTGTCGGTGGGACCACCTCTCTCCCTCCCCAAAGCCTCGGGTGCAATGTCACGCTCACCACAGAGCATAACCGTGAGCAGCCCAGCAAAAAGCCCTGGACTGAGAACACAAGTTGGTTCTAGCTCTAACCAGACCCTCGTGCTATTTGCTATGTTAACTTCTTGAATCCCTCTCTTCTTCTGTAAAAAGAGGGACGGGACCACGTCATCTATAACAGGAGTCTCAAACCCCAATATTCAAAGAAGCTGGGCAGATCATGTAGTGGTAGTAAAGCGATGTGACAGAGACTCAGAAGGAAAGCACTGCCTTTGGCTGTTGCTATGCATAAACATAAGCCCAGGGTTACCAGATTTCCAATTTTAAGAGAAAACAGAAATCAACATTTTGTGTAATATTTAAAAACTAAGCACAGCTGTACCCTGCATTTGGCCTGTAGACTGTGAATTTGTAACCCCTAATCTATAGACCTTGTAGCTACATGTTTGATTAGTATTTTGGCAAATTAAACTATAACAGCAGTGGTCATCTTTGAAGACACTAGATTTCTTCTATATTTACATGGGATTGTATAATAGCATATGATAGCTCTCGTCTTCATCTCTAACATCATCTACTTCAAGACAGTATTAAAAATCGGGGGAGCATATAGCTCAGTGGTAGAGTGCATGCTTGGCACGTATGAGGTCCTGGGTTCAATTCTCAGTACCTCTGTTAATAAATAAGTAAAAATATTTTTTGAAAAGACAGTATTAATAATCTGGTGTCTGCTAGTTGCTAAATGACTAACTGACTGACTCAATGTTCCGTCAGTGGGGTGCTTACACCTCAAAAAGGAATTTAGGTATAGAATTCTGATCCTCTTGACAACCACTATAAAGCTGGAGCTGAACTCTCTGAGAATTCCAAGCTGGGGCTGAAATCCAGGCAATTTACTTTGTTTTCTGATCTCTCCAGTGGTGAAATTGAGGAAACAGTGCTGCCTGGAAGGACGTGAAGAAGAAAAAGGATGACTGAAAGAGATTTTCTAAATTCATTCTCGGAAAGACCACACCTGTGCAGAGTGGACTAGGGAGCATCCTTCCTGGAGACGTGAGGATTTGTAGGCTACAGCTCCAAGCCTCCGTGTAGTCCTACTGCTAGGGTGTAATCACCTTCAATTCAGGTCTGTTCACACAGAACTGACCACAGTGTGTTGTCATCCCGACTGAGAGCCATGGGAGCAACAGAAAGAGGTGGGGTGGCTAAACTGGGAAGGGGCTGTGGGTTTGGAACAATGTTGGCAGGGCTAGTGAACTAGAATTTTTTTTAATGATCTACAAAGCCACCAAGCATACATGAGAAGTTTCAGATTTCTTGAATCTAGGCAGAAAGGTTGTATTTCAGGTGTTCAGAGGCTTGGACCACTGCTCTTTCCACTACACAACACCCACCTAGCCTTCGCCTCCTCTACCCTATTTTACAAATCACAGAGTCAAAATGGCTTATTATGTCTAGAAAACAAACTGATTGTCAGTTGATAAGCACTCTTTCCCAATGTTAAACTATTTTCTCCTTAGAAGGAGGGGTCAAGATTTTTCTCCTTGAAAGCCACTTAGCTTCAAAGGCCTCTTTCCTGGTGTTCTGTCAAAAGTGACGACACAAGAGACAGCACCGAAGGGCAGCACGCCAGGACGTCAGGAGATCTGTGGTTGACTTACAATCAGCATCTGCAAAGATAATATTGGGACTTTTCCCTCCAAGTTCCAGGGTTACTCGCTTCAAATTACTTCTTCCAGCTGCTTCTTGGATAAGCTTTCCAACCTGTAAGAAAGGAAATGGAGGGAGGTTTTGTACACCTTGCAGTTGAGACTGTTGGTGGCCAGAGCCAGCTGTGGGCAGCAGTGTGGCCAGCTGTGGGACACAGCAGTCACGGAGCCTGCAGGGCAAAGCCGCCCACTGGACAACACGGGAACAACCCCTGAGGTCAACTTGTGTGGACAAGATGTAAATCAGCTGCGATGCAGTTTAAAGTCTGTGCTGAAGTGAGTGGGAAGACTGATTTAGTTTCATGATGGAAGGAGCCAAAAAAGGGGGTTAAACCTGGAATCTTAATCACTGAAAGATTTCTCTAAAGACAACTGGCAAGCAAAATGTAACTAGAGATTTTCTACCACTGCACTGTGGCTTTCAGCTTTAGACTCCGGCCTCTAGAAAAAAAGCCAAATGGCTCCCCTTGAAAGACATGATGTGTATAGAACAAACTCTTCATGTGTCTCCAAAAATGCCAGGTATGGCTTTAATCACATGGTCCAAATATATATACTGATGTTATACCTTTGCCTCTGCCTCGGGCTATAGTGAAAGGATTCCAGAAAGCTGAGGATCTGTCTTTATTTGTGCAATGCCCATTTATCTAGAATCCAAACAAATAACAGGCTAAGTGTGAGGAAAGCATTTCCCACTGTGCAGACTCACACTGCCAATAAGACTGAAAGTGTCAAGATGGCACCACCTAGAGCCCCTACTCAAGGAAGAACGTGTCGCCTCAGTGACTAGGGCTGCTGTCAGCTCCTTCAGAGTCACCTCAGCTGAAAAGAGCATCCATGCCCAAGGGGTGACCCTCCCACATCCACTGCCTGATGGTGGCACAGATATAAAGGCCCTGCCCTTTCAGATCACACGCGGCAGCTCTGAGGGACCTTGTCTGCTCCACCACGCCTACCGGTGTGGCTGAGGCCATCAGGCCTGTGTGGCAGCTCAACTTCCCCCTGTGTGCACCCCCTTCAGCAGGGGACCCCTGATAAATAACCTGCCTGGCAAACTCCAACTCAGCGACGCCTCCCGGAGACCCTGACCTGTGGCAGGGTGCTGCTCTGCTGCGGGCAGAGGCCCCTCCAGGGAAAGTGCTGAGCCCCCATGCAGCCCCCACAGGCAGCCTGCCCCTGTTGAGATGAACAATGCTACTTGTGCCCGGAATCCTACTGAAAGTATTTTAAAAGCAGTGGGAAAAGAAATGCTACATACGCTTTGGACTCCTCCGGCTCCAGGCTGAGACCCTCGGACAGGACTAACTCCTCAAGCCAGTAGAGCAGTGGTCAAGAGAAAAGGCTCTGGAGCCTGAATGTTTTACTGATTATATCACTTAGGGACTGTTTGACCTTGAGAAAATTTTTATCTTCTCTGAACCTCTGTTCCCTCCTCTGTAAATGGAGCTAAAAGCAGTACCTACATCGGAATTTAGCTGTCCTGAGAATGAAGTGATTTGATAGCCGGCCCCCAGAACCCAGGCTGCACGCAGTGTGAGCCACGTGCAGGGGGAGAAGCCAGGGCCCCTCTTCTTCCAGGTCCTGCACGGAGAAATGGAGCTGGCTGTAAGCTGGTTGTACTAGACCTTCCAAAGCAGGTCTCCTCCCATGGCTCCCAAATTGTCTATGCACATCAATTACTTCAGGAAATCACTGGGGAAACTGTCTGACTTGCCACCAGTCTCCAATATTACTCATTAGCTGGATTAAAGGCTTTTATGTTTTTATTATTACTCTACCTCACAGCAAAAACTTTTAGGAAACACACTCTCATTCTGAGGAAATCTAACCTTGGGGAAAATATAGTGATGTCTCTGAAAGAGGTCAAATTAGAGTCTCTTAGATGCACAACACTGTTTCCACCAACGGGTTAAGAAGCACCAGCACCCACCCATGGCCAGAGCGCCTTCCCTGCCTCTCCAGCTTGTCTCTTCCACCTCCAGGTCAAGCCCCTAGGAAGATGGGCTAATAAAGGGCTGGTTCTCAGGCAAACCTGCTCTCTATCCTTCAAGAAAAAAGTATGCATACACAAAGGAAAGGAGAATCTGGCCCTTCATCCAGCAAGAGAAGAGTGGTCAGGTGAGGTTCCACTGGAAGCCCGAGACCCCAGCAAGACGGAAGCCGCACGAGGGCAGCTGGGCAGCGGCACCGGGGCATCCCCGGGAGGCTGTGTGACTGCCCGTCCTTCCGAGCAGTTTTAGTGTGCTTGGCTCTCCCTGCCCTGAGGAATCCATGTTAACTGATGGGTACTCATCTTAAAGTACAGGAAGATAAACAGACAAGTGCTTTCTCAAAGAAGATAATCACTGGAAGTCATGAACATTATTATTACATTTATTAAAAAACTGGCTTATTGAGTCATTCTGTATCAGACATTTACATGTATTTATGCATTTAAGCCTCTCAAACCCCCTACAAGGTATCATTTGAGCAATCCAAGAGTTAAAGTCAGTGGATGCTACCATGTCACCTGACTGGTTACTGGCAGAGCCTGCTGGACCCCGTGCAGGCAGACTCCAGGGCCCAAGTACAGGTCACTCCCTCCCCTCCCCTTAACCTCCTCCCAGCACTCTGCCTTCGTTTATATATTTACTGAGCACCCAGTGTGTGCCACATACCATCCAAACCCTAGCCTTGAACTCCAAGTTCATTTAAAAGTGAGCAAAAATAACATTTTTTAAGCACAAATAATGGCCACAATTCATCAGTTACAAAACTTACGCTCTGCCTTCAGACTGACATTTGAAAAACAAGCAAAAGCAAGGAGAAATTATGGATTTTACACATAGTAAGACGCTGAATAAATGTTTGGAGTTGGTAGAGAGAGTGCTGGCCCGCTGGCATTACATTTCTGTTAGCCCTACTCCCTGACTTTCATCAAAGCGCTCTGTGGGCTGGTATCTGCTGCACTAGGAATGTTGTCCAATGATTAGTATTTTCATGGCTACAGTAACCATACAAAAATCTTGCTCAGTCTATGGTCATAAGAGAATAATACCTCAGGATAATTTTTCCTGCATCGATGCTTTGCCAGCCTTTCCTTAGAAACCAAATTTGTGCTAAACACTGCAAGGCAAGTCTCAGATGAATAATGCTTTTCCTTTTCATCTTTGGAAGAAAGTCAAGTTGTAGCTGAGCCTCACAAAAGAACTGGCTGTTAGGTTACAGGAGAACCACTTCTATCTGAATCTGCCTCAGGACAGGATACCCTGAAAACCCCCAGTTTTTCACCAATTCCCCTTCATTCAACACGTATTCCCAGTTCTCCTCCTATGTGCCAGGTGCAATGCTGGCCACAGTTCCTTACCAACAACGAATTCACAGATAAGAGGATTCCCATGTATACCTAACAGGTGTTCAGTAAGTGCAGAAAATCCTGGGCCTGATTTACTATTAGATCTGAACAGTGAAGTGATGGCTGTGCAGCACTTTCTGGGTTATTTCCTAGAGTCAGGATCCTCTGCGCTTTACCCAGAAAGGTGAGCTGGGATGCAGCAACCTTCACTAATTACGGGATTGGGCATCATACACCTCCCCTATCATGACACTCTCAGTTTCCAGGTCAGACACTCTCTGGAGAATACATTACTACTCATGAACTCTCCCTGCAAGTGGAATGAGGGTAAGTGACCCTGAAGGGAGGCACTCCTCGCTGTCATTACCATGAGGAGGAAAGAGACAAGAGGAAGAACACACACCACTCCAAAGCAGGGGATTCTCCACAGGAAAGAGTAATGTTCAAAAACAAGGAGCTTACATGAGAACTGACTCTTACAAAATATGACAGGTTCTGTGCAAACCAACCTAAAATATTACTTGCACAAATCCCATGCAAAGGTTTCCAAAGTTAAAATCTATGAGGCAGGAAAGTCTCGGAAAGAACGAAACACAGACATCAAAGGCCTGGGATGAACTGGCCATCTAAGACAGAAAAGCAGTAAGCAGGACTCCACAGGGACATGTGTGTGCTGCACCAGGCACATTTACACACGGCCAGAAGGCGGGAGCACACAGTGAGATGAGTGGGGCTGCCAGGACGCACAGGTCTCCTGAGTGGTTAAAGCCAAGTCAAGGATGGGCTTCATAACACCAAAGCTCTACTCTGATAAACAGGCAACCTGTGAGATGAAACACAGAAATATGCAGTTTGAGAAACTGCATCCTGTATGTGAATACATATTAAATAGAATTAAGAAAGGCATAGAGACCAAATTTTGAGTTCATCATTCTCTGTTTTTTCCCCAAATCAGGAAAGCTTTCACAATATACTCTTATTACACATCCTGTCCTATCTCTGACAACCTAGTTAACTATAACCATAACCAGGTTCATGGACTACAATTTAGCCCATAGGAGTGAGAAGACCTAGTTACTACAAGCTCTGGCTTGGCTCCTTTGATTTGGGGAAGCCACTTCACCTCCGTGGGCCTCAGTTTCTTCATCTGATGAAGAAGATGCACGCCAAGCCATCTGCCCCTTAGTACTCCACTTAGCTGGAGGAATTAAAAAAGACTCAGGGCCCTGGGGTCCCTGCTCACTCTGAGAGTCCATCCACAATTCTTCTGGATGTTTCTTGTCTTACTGAGCAGAACTAGCTTTTCAGAGGCACCACAGCTGCACTGAATGGTGGAAAAACCTGATCGTTTTAGTTTCCCACAGCTCATTACAGAAGAGTAAGTGATGGTGCTCCTATCATGTGCCGTCTTAACTTGGTGCTCCCTGCAGTCTCTCAGCTGTATCTGTGCACCCCAAACAGGCAAGGGCGGGGAACTGCGGGCTCGCCCACACATAATGGAACTGGGCTAATTCTCAGCAGGAATTCTGGCACAGATCAACTCTGACTCCCATCCTCATTCTGCCTAGGCTTCAAGATTGATATCAGGAGTATCCCTGGAAGAGCCACAATGCACCAGAATCGTGCTCTCAGCACTGCAGCAGGGTAGGAAATGCAATTTGGAGCTTCGAATGGAAAATAATTTGTTTCACAGGACAAAAAGACCGTGGAAGGCTTTCTAT